TAATACATTTTCCAGTCCAACTTCTTCTCAAGTAAAAACCTTTTGGCCAAAACATATTAAAACAGTTCAACATAAAGTGCCAGTTGCACCAACAACATAATAAAATAGTTCAACATAAAAGTGTAAGTACCATTTTAAAATAAAATAAAAAAAGTGCCAGTGATTTGACCTCCAATCCTTCCATCTTTCCAAATATCCTGATGAAAAAATTAAAATCTTCTCTGTTTGGCTAGGGCCACTGGTTTATCAACGCGAATTTGGTGTGTGGTCCTTTGACTCCGAGTCGGGGCTAAACGTCCACGCTAGGTTTCCACCGCTTAGTTGCTATATGTTTTGCATTGAGGGTGATACTGAGGCTTGATGTGCTCGGGTGATATGCAAATTTTCCATTTTTTGCATAATTTGCAAACAACCGTTCTTCTTATCTCGATGCTTCCATCCGTCCCGTTTTTTTAAAACAAATTGTCCCATCCCACGGGGCCAACCCCAAAGCGGTTCTCATCAGCTTCTTCAGTTCATTGTTTTGGACTATTGTTCACCGGTGGTTGGCTTTTTGTTTGAAGTCAATGAACGTTAAGTTGGTTGCTCCAGTATAATCGGTACCCCTGAAACTCATTCCAAAGTGAGAAACGTTCCCGCGGCTGTTGGCAAATAAGCGATTAAAATGCGTTAATTTTTTTAACGCGTTAATTTTTGTGTAATTAATTAATCTTAATTAACGCGTTAAAGTCCCGGCCCTAATATATATATAATTCATACACATACATTCTTATTATTGTTCATTTATTTATTACTTTATTACATTTTAAATGTTGTCTTAATATATATATATTTTTTATATATATATTTGGGACTTTTTCTTGTATTTTTGATCTTTTCACAAAAGTTGGGTAGGTCATTTTGGAGAAACCAGCTCGAGTGAGCTAGAATTTGAAAATACACAGCCGGAAAAAATCTGCCACTTCCTTACAGAGCCCCTCCTCCAACACACACGAACGCGCACATGAGCAATGAGGGTACGAGATAAGTTTGTGCACAGATGGAAGGCTGGCAGACAGGTAGGCCATCCAGTTATTTTAGCCGGGCCGGCTCAGATGATTGGTCGTGCTTTTACAGTGCCACGGCTTCCACAGATGACATTTGACACCGGTTTCTCAAACTTACCTACCCCACCTTTAATATCAAAATAAAAACAATGTACCATTTTATTTTTATTCCGTCTTATTTATATCTTACTTTTATACTGAGTGGATGCTTTTGGATAATTTTATTGTATTTATTATCTTGGCTATTTTACTCATGCACTATGCTGCATGTGTGTGAATATATTTTACCTACTGAATGATTTTTTGTTTGTGTTTGTTTTTGAGCTGCATCCTGTTTATTTTTTAGAAACACTTTTCATACATACTGTCCAGTTGTTTTTTGATCTTGAGAGTTACGGTCTCCCCAGCCATCTGCAGCAGGTGGATGGCCTCACTCAGGGGCTTCCCTTTCAGACTGATGCTGTTGATCGCCAGGATCCGATCCCCTACATGAATAGCCCCTGTCCTGCACACACATGAAAACATCACACAGTCACACACCCAAGAGGAAACACACAACAAAATGCACAATTATGTTCTATGCTCACATCAACAGATGACTATCACACGTGAGGTTGAGATATGTTGTAGGTAATTAAGATAATGATTCATTCATTATCATGAACGGGAAGTCATGAGTAATTTAATTAGATCATTTTAAATTAAATAAAAAGACCATGACTTTGTACAGACTTGTTCTAAAACATACTGTATGTGTATACACATGTTAGCTATAGGACACAGTATATACAAACCAGAAACACAAGGCTACAGCGGATTTAGGAATTAATTTTTAAGTTATGAGTGTTTCAACTTGATTTATGTCAACAACTGCATGACTAGTGAAGGGTCACAGCAAGGTGACTGTCGACCTTTATTCCCATTATCGCCGGCCACCGCATGAAACCAGAGTTAAAGCAAACCAATCCTTTATCCTGCGGCCTACTTTGATACAGATATTAATGCTTTAGATCACTAATCTCACCCATGGTCATAGACAAATATATCACATGTACATAACTAAAACACACAGTTAATGCACTGGTTAAAGCCAGAGAAGCGTTTTTGTGAAGGTTTCCTTTTGATATCTTGAGTTTCTATTTACCTAATCTGGTCAACCAATACCAAGGCTCACAAACTAGGTCAGTGCAAACATGTTCCATGTGCAACAGAATACTTTCTTTGGGGGAAATCGGTTTTGATGACAGTTCCTTGATTTTAGGATGCAATAAAATAAAAGACACAATACAAAAAAAAAATAGAATGAAAATATTCATATAAACAAAAAAAAATTTGCGATACAAAGAAAATTGATAATAAAAATAAAATAAATAATTTTACAGTATAAACAATAGTAAATGGTTGTTAAAGTAAAATATCCAATAAAAAATGTATAAAACGTTAAATAAAAAGGGACTTCTTTCTTTTTTCTCATCAGCAACATCCCCGTTCTCTTGAATGATTTTGTGTTATTTTATATTTAAATTTCTATTTTATTTTATTTTTTAGCTGCATCCTGTGTAATCCTGTATGATTGTATTTTAAATAAAATAGAAAAATCATATAGAATACAAATATGAACACAATAACTTTATATTTATATAAATATTTAAAGCAGAAATGTTGACGTAGTCTTACTGTGTGAAAATGAGTCTATTTACAGTATAGAGTGCTTTTAGCCATCAGGTATGTTTCATCGACGACGACAGAAAATACGAAAAAGACAAACTCCAATAAACCAAATCTCTTTGGGTGTGTTTTGTGGGAATAAAGCGTTAGCCTGTTATAAAAGCATTTTATTTAGAAGTTTATAAGCTGTATTTGCCAGTGGATGATTATGATTCAGAGCCATTACGACATGTTGAGCCTGTTGCTGTGCACACTGGCTGCCCTGCCACCTCTCCACTGCATCATGCTCCTCATTATCTCACCCGTCAGCACCTCGTCACGTGGAGCCTGCTGCACACTCAGCTGCTGCCGGGGAATCCCTCTATTTATTGCCCAAGGCATATCCTGTTATTTCTCCTAATAAGGTTTTCCCCCACTGCTTCATGAAGCCTAAATAAGGCAGCACAGGTCTGGGCTAAAGTTTTCTTGAGTGCCGGAATGATCCAAATTAAAAATGTTCACTGCAGATAATGGAAATGGGACAATTCTGACTAAATCAGTAACCGCGCTTGAGAGTCAAAAGGTTGTGACCCTAACTTTACTGTTACCTGAGGGTTATAGTTGTTATTCTCACTGAGGATGGAGGAAGCTGTCTTTAATCTGTAGCTCTCTGCCTCACCAGTGCTGCTACAGTTCATTTCTGGGGGTCAGTCGATGTGTGGAGACATATACTGTATGTGTGAACACTTTTCATGAGCCACACAGAATTCACACTGGATAACTTTATTGGTGGGACTAGTTGTCTGTGAGTCAAAAAAAAAGAAGATCTAATCCTTATTATATTTTTATTAATTGTATTAGACATTTTACTTTAACTTCAATTGTTTATATACATATCTTTATTTTATTATGTGCTTTCCTTTTTTGCACATTCTTAATTGAGCTCTTTCTTTATTTGAATATTTGTGTTCTATTTATCTTTTATTTTATTTCATTCTAAAATTGAGCAGCAGTCACGGAAACCAGTTTCCCCTAAATAAAGTGTTACATTGTTATACGCACAAAGAATAATTCCAAACCATAAAAAAATAATTTGTGTAGTTTACCAATGATTCCTGTGAAAGGTGCCTTATGTTTACATGCAGTTTCATTTGCCAAAAAGTATTCTGTTAACCCCTAACAAACATGTTCCTCAAAAAACCCAATGCAGAGCTAACGTTTCAGCATTTCAAATTGAATTTGTTTACATCTGTGTTTTATTGGTCTGCTTTCGTGCCTTTGTTGTTACAACATCCAATTGTGCATTATTGTTCAAGAAAAGTAATACAAATATAGTTCCATAGTACTAATAGTTGTGTAAGACTTCACATGGTGCCTGATAAGATGTGTTTACCGTACTAAGTGTTGGGATCAAATGAAGTTAAAATAAGGTATTTGTTTCATTTAGTCATTTATTTTACATTTTTAAATGTCAAATAATTTGAATATGGTTGTTATAATAGTTTAGTAGCACTCATTTAAAAAATGTTTTTATATATATATTGAAAAATGTAGGAACAAAGCAATTACCTCCAGCTGCTTTACTGCTGTGCACGAGCTCTAACTACTAGTAACCTAGATTTCTAAGAGGAGACATTGTGTGTGTGTGTGTGTGTGTGTGTGTGTGTGTGTGTGTGTGTGTGTATGTGCGTGTGTGTGTGTGTGTGTGTGTGTGTGTGTGTACCTCTCGGCCAGGCCTCTCTTGGTCAGGCCGGATATAGTGATGGGGTCGAAGGGCTCCTCGGTGCCTGATATGGTGATGCCCAGAGGGCCCCCGTACCTCTTCAGCTCCACTGTGTAGATGATGCTGCCCGAGGTCTCCTGCTCATCTGACACACACANAAAAAATGTAATGCATTATTATTATTATTATTATTATTATTAAGGATTTTGGGAGATGGCCCTATGGGCCATCTAAGCTAATTTACAGATGGCCCTGAGCCCAATAGAGA